TATCCAGTGTTAAGTCACACATCACTTATCCCTTTTTGGCGCATTGTAGGTGTAGCGTCTTACTAGGAATGGCACCTAAACTGGTTATTTTTTCGATGAACAGCCTTGACTCGGCTGTTCTGACCTGTCTCAGAATCAACCGTTCTGACCTAACTCTGGACTCGGCTGCTCTGACCTGCCCCTGACTCAGCTGCTCTGACCTATCCCTGACTCTGCTGCCCTGACATGTCCCTGACTCTGCTGCTCTGACCTGTCCCTGGCTCAGCGCTCTGACCAGCCCCTGACTCTGCTCTGACCTGTCCCTGACTCTGCTGCTCTGAGCTGCCCTTGACCCAGCTGTTCTGACCTGTCTCTGTCTAACCCCGGGTTCTCTTACTCATATGGTGAGCAATGGAAAACAGAAGACGTGATGCACACCCCACTTGCAGATGCATGTATTGCATGCAGTGAAACACAATTGGTTTAGTCAAAATATGTTAGCAATTTAATATTTGATATTCAGCCGGATTAAAGTGATCAAAAACGTTTATTAGCATATTTCGTCAAAAAGGAGGCGAAAAGCGTCATAGATAAAATAAGTTCCAACTTACAAGTGCAGGGCAACGTAAATATTGCTACTGCTATGCCTTTTGTTCCTGTGGCGGTGGTGTCCACTGGCTCTAAAGTACTATCATCTAGTGTTAACACTACTATCGTGTGCCGGCCTCCATAGGGCCTGGCGAAGGACAGCATGCACTAGTGTTGCCTGCTTGATAAAGTAGTGACATTTGCCGATTGCTTTTCCGGGCCACGTCGATAGTTTACACATTTATGTGACATGACCCCTGTAACCGGTATGCGAAGTGATAGGCAAGATGTTCAGTGACGTGTTATGGATCGTCTATATTCATGATTTTCGGCGCCCACGCAGATTGGCTGGCCCGCTTGCATGATGTATCGCGCTGGCTGATATGTTCCGGATCATCCGCATGCTTTCTGGGATGTAGGCTTTGATGCCATCTTAGTTCTGACGGGATCAAATATCTAGAATCATCTGCGATGCAGCGGTCCGTTATTTTTACGCTCATTTTTGGTATCACCACCATTCTATTTTTTCTATTTTATTTATTGTATTTCTTAGTTTACATTCTAACCTACATCCGTGACATTTTGAGAATATCTGGCTGGCGTTCAAACTTCTCTGACGAGGAAACCAGGTACGGGAGCGCTACGCATGCGCAGCAGTTCTTTTCCAACCGGAAACGAGGGAGGAGAGGGGAGGGGAGATGGATTCAGCAATAAACTGTCTGAGTCCCCACATTCTGCTAATCCATTGATTCTTCGGCAAGTAGCGTGATGTTTTATGTCAAGATTCATATTTTGGTTCGGATATCGTCTTTTCTTGATTAAAATAAATGTGAGCTGGAGCTGGCTCATGCTATAAACATAGGGGCAAAAAGGACAGCCGATGTACTTTGTTTTACAGATTTTTCAGTACCAAACAGCTCACACAGAAAAGTAATCATCGCTTTTTAAAAGTTGATCGCGTGGTCAATACATTGAACTGCATACGATGGAGTACAATACACGGAAATGTAATACAATAAAAAAGAACTCGATGTAATACATTACAACGCACGCCATGCAATACATTGCCCTAAAACTCTAATCATCATCGTCATCATCATCATCATCATCATCAACACAACGTATACAATGTCATGCATTGACCGCGCGACCAATAAAACACAATGCTTATCTTTCGGTGCTTGCTTTTTGTTCTGAGGAAGCTGCCAGGCAAAATATGTTGATTTCCTCAAAACACCCTTCCTCACAAGTTCTATTTCATGAGAACTGACGCCAGATGACCAACGTACACATCTAATGACTGAAGTTGGTTTTCGGGAAGTCACATATTTTACGCGGACTGTCCACACGGGGTGACAGACCGGGGATTGATTCGGCTTCAACAAACCGCATCGATTCCATTGCATTTACAGCCGCATGTGGCATGCAACGACGCCATTCCAAAGGCTGGAAACTGTTATTACTGACTGCAAAGAACCGAGTAGCAAAGTGACAAGATGCTGCACGATGGGGAGCTGTTGCAGTGATCACAAGTTTGTAATCCATCAAGGCGCTGACATTATTGCTTGAGTTGTGTGTGTCGATAGTAGCAAAAAACTGTCACAATAGCGTCACGTGATAACCTCTGTTTCAGGTGCGGTACTGTAGTAGCTTTAGGTAATGATTCTTCATTTTTGATGGCACGAAGGCTACAAAGTTCTTTCACCATATCAGACGTACGCTTCCCCCGAAATATATCACTAAGTTTTGGGTTGAACGTTGCAATTTGCAAATAACTACAGAAAGCCATATGTGTGTGTTATGGTATATGTGCAGCAAAAGTAAATCTAGACAAAATGCGACAGGGCATCAACTACCTCCACCACGCTTTTCACGGGTGTTTCAATGGACGTCGTTTGAATTGTGAATGCTCGCCCAACTCGAGCAAAATATATGGTCTACTGCGATCTCACACGCAACACCAAGCTGGTGTGACTTGTGCGCCGGCCCACCCTGACTTTGCTCCAACGATTGGAAATGGCTTGTGCTGGAAGAGAACGTCGAATATCACTATCTATGCACGCCTGTGGAATTGAGGATATTTCTCCCACCGCTGTGCTGCTTGCCTCGAAACGTGTCCCGTAGCGCCGACGTTGACGTGAGGACGACGCGGCATTAACGGCGCGAGAAGAAATTGGGAATATTCAGCAAAATATTTGCATAATTTATTCAGATGAGGTTTATGCAAGGGGAAGCGGCGGAAGCGATTCCTGCCGCATAGCTCTAATTAGTTCGGAGCAAGTTGCAGTTTATGTTCGTTGCGTGCTGTGCAGCTAATGAGCGCTGAGAGTTTGATAACATATTTTGCGACAAAGCGGTTCTTTAGTCTCTACTACTGTGCACATGTCAAATGGGTGCCAAATCAGGCGTCTCCAGAAAATGGCAGTCGTGCATTCGTCGCAGTTGCGTATGCGGCTCCGGCAAATAATGTCTGCCTGCGGGATGGGCATGTGTTGTTTTGATAGACTCGAGGGAGTAACTGGAGAAATGTCACGATTCAAGGCACGTAAACCGTGAAAATTCATCCCCTAAATATTGATGGTTAGCAGCAAACCACCGTCAAGTTTGATGCGCATCGCCAACGGCAGTGTCAGCT